ACATGAGACAAAGTATATGTGAACTGCTGTATGAAAAGTGAATTTACTCTGTAAATCTTCACCCAAATCCTAATAAAAAAAAAAAAAAAGACTGTGGCCCTTAGACACCCTTTAAACCTGGAACTGAACCCATCCCCAGGGATCAACTTTCAGCCAAATATATAGGCCTATTACATGAACAATAACACTCATGAGGAACTGTGATGCAATGAATTACTGGTATGGCTCTTTTAGCCATGGTCTTTATAACTCCCACCCAGATGAGTGGGTGGAACCATGCAAATATAAGGTGCTTGTAGCCCACAAAGGGGACTGGATAGCTTGTTAGCAATATAAATAAGGTACATGGAATCCTTATTGGAGAGGCACCATGGAAATAAGCTATATCGAACCTTAACATTGGGATTGGTTTGTTTTGTCATTCTACTAGGCTTTAAAATGCAGAAGAACTCCTAAAGGCAGAAGGAGTTCTGGTGCTGCAGTGGTTAAGGCATTCAGCCGCTAACCAAAAAGTCAGTTGTTCAAATCCACCAGCCATACTGGGGAAGATGGGGTGGTCTGCTTCCATAAAGATTTACAGCCTTGGAAACCCAATGGAGTTCACTGTGAGTCAGAATCGACTCAATGGCAGTGATTTTGGTTTGGTTTAAAGAAGCAGAAGGGGGAGGATCTCACTGCCATCAAAAGAGCTGGAGGTGGAATGCTGTACGTCCTTGGACCTGAGATCCCAGCACCAGACCTCCTTGGCAGAGATGACTGGCAGAGAGGCAGCAGCAAAAGAACCAAGAGACCAGCATGAGACAGAAAGGCAAGCTTGCTGACCAAAGAAGCAAGAAAGCTGAGTGGCTCAATACTTGTCTAAGCAGAGCAGAGGCCAGGCCAAGAGACCAAGGGCGAGAGAGGCATGCCTAAGTAGACAGCAGAGGAGACTGTCCTGATCGAAGAATTGTATCCTGAGCATTTCTGAACCTGAATTGTAACCCATTACTTCCCTAAGAAACCCCAAAATCATTGAGTATTGTCTGTGAGCTCTGGGTAGCCATTGCAATGAATTATCAAACCCAGCAGAAAAGTAGTAAGTGTTGTGGGAGGGATAGTTGGTGTCAGAAATGGTAAAAAGATTGGAGGGCGACAGCATGTCTGACTTCTGTCTCACAGTAATCAGCTTTAGGCTGCTGATGGTAATGCTGTCTCCCCCTTGTGAAGTTAGAGAAGGAAGCTGCCTCCTTGCTCTTTTTGCAGGAACATACTCTGCAGAACAATGAACATTATGAGACCAAACATGCAGCATTTGCCCTAAAACAAAGGTCAGAATGCCAGAAGGGGCATGAATACTGAAGGAGGAAGAATGGATAAGGGGAACCCAGAGAGGAAATGGGAAGAGAGCTGTTATATTGAAGGGACTGCAACTAATGTTACAAAACAAAATGTGTATAAATTATTGAATGGAAAACTAATTTGCTCTGTAAACGTTCACCCAAACCACAATAAAAAAAAAATTAATAAAAACAAGCATGTTTCTACTTGACATTTCAAATATATATTTATATATATCACACAAACCTCACCTTTGTAAAAAGACCCTCTGCCTGTATACTGTATCCTTTAAGGTCCTCATGTAATTTCTGCAAAGACTGCACGACTCTTCTTTGATGTTCATCATCCTTTAGCTCATGAGCTTTGATCAGAAAATCATAGTGGTCCAAAGGTCCATGGCAAACAGCCAAAGCTTTTGAATAAGCCTCTGTCACAGCAGTTAGAGGCATACTCTCGGATGTCTGAACTGCATAGGCTGTAAACAGAAGTGTATATACAATTTTAGACTCTTAAATGAAGATATTTCAGTGTTCTAATGTTAATGTTAATAGTCACATTAAAACCTTTTCACCAGTGATAAGTGTATATATTTGAGCAATTTTTGTAAATGTCATTTTTATAAAAGTAATAATACAGAATATATTTTACATAATAAATCTAATTGTTTCCATGTAATGGAAGGAAATAAACTCAAACACCATAAACTATCAAGTAGCCTCTCTCCTCCACAGCCTGGTGGGCTAACGATTCTGCTTTGCCTCTACTCCATTAGATAAGCCACTGCATTTACCAGATCTTCCCAAAATCAAGGCTGGGTCTCTTTGAATAAGATCTATTTCTGGTTCTTATGCACCAGAGCAGAAACGTAGAGACTAATCACGAAGTGTTCCCCACTTCCCCTTTACTCTCTATGCAAAACAACTCAACATTCAGATATTACCACATTGATGTCAGTTCTCTGCTTATGAGATTTCTTCCCTTTTCCATAACCTTTTGAGGGCTGAACACAGAGGGTGAGGATAATACAGGGCATCTGTTTAAAAGATGAATGGTGTTCTGATCCTTTTTATAGCCTCTCCTGGGTCACAAATGATTGGTTGTGGTGACTTCCAATCACAATTCCTTTCCTTATCTGGGGCAGGTTCAACCAGCAGGTAGGCTTCTATGTTTAATATGCAACGATCAACAGCAGCAATCTGGCACATTTTTTAGACAAAGATTTCTCAAAGATACTTAGAGATACTACATTTGTTTCACTGAATACCATGTTTCTTTTATTGCAATAACAAAAAAAAAAAAAAAATTAGTTACTAGGAAGAAAATTAACAGTCACAATGTCATTTCCATCTTTTTCCCAAGAGAGGAAAAATCATTAAATATACCAGTGTTCAGGATGGGGCAGGGCTGTCTTCCAATATCTACACCACCACCACCCCCAAACAAAGATTTCAGTTGGGCACATGTGTGCTCAGTTAAATATTACATTTTCTGGCCTCTCTTGCAGCCAGATATAGCTAGGCTCTAACTAATGAGATGTGAGAGGAAACGTGTGCAGTCCTGGTCTGTGCCCTTAAAGAGAAAGGGTGGATTCTTCCCTCTCCCTATTCCTCTCGTCCCTTTGACTGGAATGAAAATGTGATGATAGCAACTAGAAAAGCAACTCTGCAATGAGGTGCAGGTAGAATGCTGAGCAAAACAGAGTAATAAGGTAGACGGAGCCTTGTTCCCCAACAATCCTGAGTCAAAGACAAGCTCTCCAACACCTACCTGGATTTTTATGTAAAGGAATATTAAACTTCCATTTTGCTTTTAAAGCAGCATGTGTTGGGGTCTCTGTTACAGAAGCCTCAATTGTACCTTACTAACACAGAAGGTTCAAACAATCACTCGTCTGTCAGTTTGTCATACTGTGGTGTTTGCATGTGGCTGTGATTCTGGAAGCTATGTGACCAATATTTCAAATACCAGCAGGGTTGCCCATCACGGATGGATTTTAGTGGAGCTTCCAGGTGAAGACAGACTCACCTTCCTACCACCAGACTTCCAAACTCATCTGTATCTACCTCCACCCTTTTCTCTTTTCACCTAGATTATAGCTTAGAGCTGTATCTCCTTCCATCAGGGGCCAATTCTTTCTGTTGTCCTCCATTAAATTGTTTTCAAGTTTTTCTTACTTTCATTTTTATGTCATGACCCAACACACACACACATATAGAACTGAAACAAAAGTTTCATGAAATAATAAGATTTAGTAAAAGTATGAAATAGTAAAAATAATAATGATAATAATCCTACTATGCAGGATCGCATGCTAGTATTTAATATATATGTATGTGTATATATACAAATGCATATATATAGACACACATGCTAGGTCCCTGAGTGGTGTGGTGTAAGCTGCTTATGCTCTGCTACTAATTGAAAGGTTAGCAGTTTGAATCTACCCACTGGTGCCAGAGAAGAAAGACCTGGTGATCAACTTTTATTAAGACTTCAGTCACTGAAAACTCTATGGAGCACAGATCTACTCTGAAACACGTGGGGTCACCATGAGTTGGAATGGGTTTGGTTCTGGTATGGACACATATAGACATAAATACTGGACAAAGAACCATTCAATTTAATGATATTAAATGCCATTGTTTTACTTATTTTCCTTTTTATTTGGCCTCCTCACTAGAATGCTCTTTGAGGGCAGTTTAGTTCAATGCTGTGTCCCCAGTAAACGATGGCCGATACATGACAGGTGCTTATTAAATGTTTCTGGAATCCTCTCCCTTTTTTAGAGATCTCATCATCTTCATTAGCCACTTCTGTCCTATATCACAATCTTACCCTCATATTAATTCCTTCCCTTCAGTTCAACTCATTCTCACCTTAAAAAGAAAAATAACAAGCAGACCAATAAAGCCTCCTTGACCCCCCATAGTCATGGAGCATCTGCTGTTTTCTCCTCCCCTTCATAGCCAAACTACTTAAACAAAGTTGCCTTTACTCTCATGGCCACTCCCTCACATCCTGCTCACTTCTCAACCTCTGTGAACTGGCATCTACTGAGAAGGGCACCCAAGGCATATTGTTGCCAAATCCAGTTGTTACTCCTCAGTCCTCATATTATTCTTTACAACTCTAAAATATCTTATAATTAAGTTTTTCACAGAGCCTGGGGCAACAAAGGAAAAGGGGGAGTCAGGAATAGGAGGATATAGAATGTGTGGCTAATTGCTTCCATGAACAACCGCCTCCTTTGCCATGAGACCAGAAGAACTGGATGGTACCCAGTTACCATTTGCATGGTGCCCAGTTACCATTAAGGAACATTTTGATCAAAGATTCTGCAGAAGAATTCTGATCAAAATGGGGAAAATGCAGAAGAGAACTTCAAATCCTCATGGACTCTAGACTTTCTAGAGCCATAGAGGATAGATGAAACCCCTGAAACAATGGCCCCAAGATAATCTTTAAACCTGTGGTAGTTAAGTTTGTGTGTCAACTTGGCTGGGCCTGGTTGAATGGCTGGGCAGCTGGATGTAGTATTCCCCAAGATGAGACTGGTAATCAACTCCATGGTGGAATCTACTGTGAGCAGCGGGGTAGCTGCCTTAGGGAACGAGGTCTGCTTCCAGTATATAAGAAGAATCCTTGGAGAATGGTGTCTAGCTTATGGCACGCTTGGACCCTGCATGTAGCCGTGTCATTGTTCAGCAGCCTGCCCTGCTCTGCCGACCTTGGGACTTACAATGGACTTGAATTAATGACCTGCCATGTGGTTTGGTAACATTGGGACTGTGCCATTTTATTTGTCGACCTTGGGCTTGTTAGCCTC